CCAAGCAGTTTCGGAGGTAGCCCGAAATCGATGTGAGAGGTGTTTTTTAAGACTGTATCAGTGAGGGGAAGCTGGCTTTGAAGAGCTGACTGCTGTACGCAGCCTAGCCTGACTTAATGAAATGGCTCTCCCGATAAAGCCTTCACATCAGCTCTGGTCCTGAAGCTGAAAAGCTTCAGCATGCAGCTAAATGCAGGATGGATCATGTATGCCTGGAAAAGCACCGAGCGATCTGCTGGAAGAAATCACCTTTCCTACTAATCTCAGAAGTTTTAAGAGAGATCCCCCGGTGTGCATTCCCTGGGCCCACATAGGCCACCTTGCTTGCTGAATCCTGTAGAATTTCTTTTGTCAAAGCTCACAGCACTACCCAAAAACTGTTCTGACCATGTCTTGGTGGGGAGAGCCACTACCGACGCCCCCACTCGGGCAGCTGCCGAAAGCGGAGCTGGCCGAGCAGTGCCCTGCCTGGCCCGAAGCACACACAGACAGCTCCCGACACCACTGGAAACCTCACTGACACTGATAAACCCACAGCTCGGGCAGGTAACCAGAAAACAGCCGTAATCGCCGCAACCATCTGCAGCCAGAGCTGGGTTTGCTCTTCCCATCCCGCAAAGCCGCCTGACCACGCAGAGCAAGGGCAACGCAGCCTCCTCCCCGCACGTCTCCAGCACGGCACCTTCACCCCAGCTGAGGCTTTAGCCTGCCGTCCATCTCAGTAACGCCCGAGTCCTTTCTCCGTAAGATCAACAGCGGACCCGAAAGCGCTTAATCCACCCCATCACTGCAAGCAAGAGACGTAATTGAACTTGTTTAACCTCTTGCCGCGGGATCCTTCAGCAGTCCTGGCACCATCAGTAGCAACGTCCACATTCGCTCTCGTTGAGGCCACTTTCTATGAGCCCTCCTTGGGCTTCTCATCTCTTCTCTGATCTGTCCCTCCTTCTGTTTAATGAAGAGGCAGTTTTTGACAATCAGCAACAGGTTTTACGGTAGACTGAAGCTGCTTTTCCTCGCTTTTAACAGCTGAGCCTCTGAAGTCTTGCTTGAGGTCGGGGAAGGCAAGATGATTCAAAATGGAGAGAAACTGCTGGGTCTGAGCACTGCTGTTTCTCCAAAAGTATGTCCAAGTTCAAAGCCATACTCGTGGCGTGGGCTGTGGGTGAATATTCCATTTTGTCACAAGTTTTGAGGTTTTTAAATGTCTTTTTGTTGCACACTGGAAAACAAACAAAACCCTTCCCATGTTTCCGCAAAGCAGAATACTGTCAAAACATTTTTGTTGGATAAGGTCAGGTTTTCTCTCCCTCCTTCTCCGCACAGAAGTGACCGATGCCTGAAACCCCCCTTGAACGTGTCATTGAGACCGAGCATCTCAGTGCTGAGAAAACAGCGAAGTTCAGTGAAATTCAGAGCATCAAAACATCCCGACCAACTCTCCTTATGCACTCACGCAGCGGGAGCCAGCACCGCGCTAGCTGGTAGACCAGATGCAAAACACATTACCGTCAGCAACAGCGGGGCAAAACCAAAGTCCTAGCTGCAGAGACTTCAGCTGGAAGCTCCAACTGCTAAGCCACCGTATCAAGGAGTATTTCTGGAAAGCGCCTTAACTCCCACACCACCTCCTCCCTAACATTACGCGTGTTAAGTTGCTCTGTCAGGTTAACTACGGCACAGGATTTTGACAGATCAAAGTTCATTTAATAAAGCACCTGCTGTTATACAGCAGGGGTTCGGGGCTGCTTTTATACGGCAGAGTCCCAGCGGGAAGGCTCTTTCAGGACCAGCGTGATTCCTGCTTGCTGGCATTTCCTTGTCCCCAAACCATGTATTCAAGAGCAGGTTCATCAGAAGGAAGCAAAGGATTTCTCGCTGGCCCTGCTCCTCCTTCCAGCTGCCTGGGCCACCAGTTTCTCCGTGGCCACGCGACTTTGACCAGAGGAGGGACATGTTAAATATCCTTCTTGGGTAATGGAGTAGGACAACTAGAAAACTCTTGTTCTCAGTTTGCAGCAGGTTATGTTACAGCTAACAAAAGAGAATCAACTTGAGTTGGATTTAAGCAGTGTTGTTTCAAAGGGAGTCATGAGCTAGTCGCCTTTTATCTAAATAAAACTTTGCATCAGTGAATAGGAAAGTGCCTCACAGAGGTCAGCCTCAGCATATGGAATAAATCCTGGTATCCCAATAAAGTTTTTACTTCCTCCTTTTCAGGCAAAACTCCAACAGCAGGATACGTAAAAACGGAGCAAGGGATTGAAAAGTCTGCCAAGTCTACAACTGGAAATCTGTTACAATATTCTGCCGTATTAACGCATTACTATTACGAAGACACCGCTGATTACACCGAGATCATAGCACGGTACCAACATCTGCCCACTGAGGGATTAGATACTTAACATAATAAATGCGTGTGTAACAGGAAAAGGAGCCGGAGAGACACTGCCAGGCTTAAGTTAGGTTTTAAAAAGCCAGTATCTTCTTCCCACGGTAACTGAGAAAGTGCCATATAAAAATCATAAGACGGTTTAAAACTCTGTTACGCCTTTCATCTTTGTACTTGGAAAAGGAGTTTGCTTTTCAGTTAGCTTGGAAATGAAGAGACTGGTGAGGTTCAGGTATGTCCCGGTTGCATTCCATAAACGAATACAACTGACTGTAAATGCACCAGGGAGTATTAAGTTTTTATTTCTAAATGATGGCATTGTTCAAATTAAAGCTACTCCTGGTAGTATCAGAAATCTGCGCAAGGCACAAAGGTCAGATCTGGATCTGAACGTCATTCTGCGTCTGCACTTCATTCAACTAGTTTGTTCAGATCCGTCTCTGATTATTAGGTTTGATCACCTTTGCCCCATCCCTAGCTGCCATTTAGCGGGGGGTGTACTTTTCCTGGCACTGTCCCTATAACTTAATGAGTTATTTTAGGCTTCACAGTTTGCTGGGACAAGGTGGGGGCAACGGTATCTCTTCTGCAAGAGGTTAATACTTTCTTCTTAGCATGAGGGCTGAATTGCAGTTTTAGGGGTCCCGAATGCTCACAGGAGGAAACTCATTCTCGTCATCAAGACACACTGGTCCAGTTGCAAACTCATGCTCTGGGATAACCTCTCCTCGCAGGGCACCACCGTCCTCCGAATAACCTGTCCAAGTAGAAATACAAAATGTTCCAGATAAATGGATGGAAGGAGGCTGGAAACAAACAGTGGAGACACTATTTTATCACCTTTCTAGCACAGAGCTGCTTTCTCTGGCTGTTTGGCAGAGCTCTGGGGGACTGCGGAGGAGACAGGCATCTCCGTTGGCACTACAGATGAGGGAATGGACTACATAGCTAGTTCCTGCGGCAGAAGCTTTCCTGCTCCCACCATGAATGTAAGCACCAATTTCGGAATAAGATCCACACCTATATGTGGACCTTTAGACTCGGGAATATAATAGTCAGCCAGTCTTCTCCTGCAACAATTCAGTGCTAGCTTCGTTAGGGCAAGGTGTAACAGATTCGGGAGAATCCGTAGCGATTTTGCCACAAAAATAGTGAGATCTGACTTCTACACCCACAGTTTCAACTCCTGGAAACCAGCCTGGCAGCAGCTGCTGTCTGACAAACCGTGAAGCTCGGATGTGGTTACTGCTCTGCTGGTGAGCCCGTTTGTGGTACAGCTCTGCACAAGGAGGAGAAGCGCTGGGAAGGGGGCCCGGGAAGCAGAGCAGAAAACGCCTGGCCTGGTTTTGGGGCAGGGAATGAACCAAGTGAGCTCCAGAGAGTCCTGCTGCCCCAGTCTGCTTTGCGCACACGTGGTGTTTCGTTGAACCCTTGGAAAGTGGGAGACTTTCCCCTTTGCCCCAGGTAGCTTTCTTGCTTCTGCCTGAGGAAGGACAGATGCGATGCTTACCTGGCATGGTCGAGGTTGAAGGCACTGTACTTTGTCTGGCTACAGTTGCTGCATAAGATTGAGGTAATGGAGGCCGAAGGTCGTTTTCTTTGTTCTCCTCCGTCTTTCCTGAGCCAAGCAGACTAATTGTACAGGAGCAAGAGAAGGGAGACGAGTTAGTTTTGATCCCAAGCATTTCCTCCCCCAGCACCGGCTAAGACAAGCTCGTGCATCCACATCTCCTTGAAGCCCATCACCCATCCGCATCACTGCGTACAGGCTCTGCCCGCAGCCCTAGCAGCGCTGCAGACGAGGAGAGCATTGTGCTCTACAAGCAAAGTGGGGGGGAAGCAGAAGATAGGGAAAGCACTACTTCGGCTAGAGGACAATGCTGGCATGAGAATAGAAGGGAACAGATTGACCACAAAAGCTTTAGGTTACAAAGGCAAACAGTGTTTCTAATCACAGAGGGGGCTCCAAAGGGCTTCCAACAGGAGCGGACTAGATGGGAAAAGCAGCGCTGGCTAGTTTAGGACGGAGTTTGAGCAGAGATATAGTATGATGGTATGATGTAACGTAACTCATGACCCAAGGGCCCTTTTCAGTCCTCTGATGCTAAGAGGAACCCACATACAAAGCTGGCCCGCCAGCTCCGGACGGCCACTTTGGGATGGGAGCAGGCGGGCGTCAGCGGTGTCTGAAGGCGGCGGGGCGGCCGGAGCACGCTGGACAGCGCAGCTTTGAAGTGCCGTTGTTTTGTGGCTTTTCAAAAAACTGCTGGCATTTTCCTGGCTGTCAGCCACCTCCCGGCTTAGAGCACATGTTACATCGCACCCCACCCCAAAGGCTTCACATCTGGAGCCAAGCAGATGTGCGTGTGGGGTTACGTGCTTAATCAAATTCGCCTACAAACCGAACAGCAGCACGGAACACTCTGCTTTGGCACCGCATGCCTGCAGGCGTGCATCCGTGCGGGTTTTTGTTTACGGAAGCTCCCAGCGTCGCTCCACACCGTCCTACCCCCAAAGTCAGCTCTCCAGCACCCACTCACTCCTGGGGAAGGTGCTCTGCTCTCCTGCCACCGTGGTGGTCAGCGCTTGCTGCTGGAGGCACCTCCTAAGGCACAGCCTGCCCATCTCTGCTGTCTAAGCCGAGATGTCCCACAACTGCTTAGGGATCTGAGATGTTTCTTCTGCAAGAAGCCCCACGTTCCTGCCTCCTGACCTGGTTCCCACCCACGTCTGTTGGATCAGGCAGCTAAAATCACAAAGTCAGTTCTAACGTTCTTGCTCCTACAGCTCCATTTTGTGCTTTCAGGTGAAATTTCCCTTAATTTTTTAAAAGATCAGCCTCTGTATCAGGTGCATCTGGAGGTATAGTTACCTGTGTTTCTTAATTAAGACACACTCTCCTCCATCTTGCGGGTCCAAGTTATAGATATAGAGATGTCCATCTGACGTAGTCACCAACAGACGAGGCAGCTTCTGAATCCTAACGAGGAAAGTATCATGAGTCCAAACGCATCTGCGCTTGCAGCCAGATATGGCACGCACCCGCGCTGCGTGCTCTGCAGGCGTGGGTGCGAGATAAGGGGCCGCGGTGGTGGTGTTCTGCAGAGATAGCCGTGTCTGCTCACAGGCTGGCGTGGCAGAGGGGATGCAGATGTCGATACCTACGTGGAGAGGGCGCAGATGTTCCTTTGTCCGGAGACGTTCAGGCGGACAGTGGCAAAGGCTCGATCCTGGTTCATCATGCCTGATACCTGAGCAGGGAGGTAGTTGGTAGCAGCCTGGAACATCTTTCCCATGTAACCGCTCCAGGTTGGAGGCTCTTCTGGCCGGCTGAGGGGGTCACAAAGCAGCATTAGTGGGGCTACCGCACTCAGCGTGACGAAACAGGTCAGGAACAGACAAAACGATCATGAAATTAACTCTCCCCTTAATTGGTTTAGTGGTGGACTTGGTAGTGTTAGGTTAATGGTTGGACTGGATAATCGTAAAGGGCTTTTCCAACCTAAACAATATCATGATTCTATGATTGCTGATACGCGAAGGCTTTCTTTGGAGCACCTGCACACGTCGTGCACCAGCCTAGCCGGGTACACGGGAAGGAGGCAGGGGACAGTGGCAGCTAATAAACCCAGAGCAGGCCTGGCAAGGCTGACAGCAGGGATGCAGTTTGTAGCTTTTCCAAGGAGCGAGTCCCTCAGGACACAAAGCCGAAGAGACAGTCTGCAGCTGGTATTGCTCACGGAGAGTACGCGGTGAGGAAATGGAGGCCAGCTGTATAAAGGCAGACCTTTGAAGCAGAGACACCCCCGGGGCAGGGCAGCTTAACCCAGGCTAACCCCGTCACCTGTCAGTGAGATGCTCCAGTTTAAAGATGTGCACGGTCTCCGTGTTGCTGGAAGCACAGAGGAACTGGGAATCCATGCTGAACACCAGAGAGCTGATGTTCACATACCTAGGGCCAAGCAAAGGCAGGACCGGTCACTTCATGGCATACCATTCAAGGGGAACTGCTCAGTTTTGCTCACAGGGGATGGGGAGGAAGGAGACCCACACACAGCGAGGAGCACCCCGCCTGGCTGCTGCCGAGCCTGCGGGCTGCCTGCCGAGCGTTTCCCTAATCCCTTCGCTCAGCAGAGCTGGGGGTAGCCTCAAGGTAGTGACAAACAGCCAGAGAGGTGGAAATGCCCTTGCTCACAGAACTGTCCGTGGAGTGAATATCTGTGCCGGCCTCGCTACAGCAGCTAAAGCTTCTGGTACTGCAAAGGCCAGGGAGGATATCCAAAGCACTGGGTAGCCGGACACATGCGGCATCTCCTCCTGCACAGGCTCAGGAGGGCCAGGGTGTCTCAGTCATGGCAGTTTTTGTCCTTGCAGAAGTGGGTGTAAAATCACAGGCAAGTCAGGGATGGGGAAGAGGGAGAAGTCAGGAAAAGATCTACTGAAAACATTTGAGGGAGCCTGCAGAAGGGCAGCAACAGCCCATCCCCGCCATCGAGACTTGGGCTCTGGGCAAATGACTTGGTAGCTTCCAAACACCTACTTTGAGAGGACAAGAGTTGGGCCGATAACTTTGGGGACTTCATTATTTCAAGGAAGAAACAAGAAAGGACAGAGTAAATGGACAGAATCTACCTCTGTTCTCTGCAATCGCCCTGTTCTGTGACACACTGAATTGAATCACTAAACTTGCCGGAGGCAGCTGGGCGCAGCATGGCTGTCCGGCACAATGGCATTTCTATCTGATACGCTCGCTCTTGTTTTCTTTCTGCAAAAGATGCCAAAGCCACCAGGATCTGACGTTGCTCTGTCCCTGTGTTTACATTTCTGCTCCGGGAACCCTCTGTGTAGTTGTCAGCGACAGAAGAATGAACTGACCTTTTCATCCCTCGACGGAATTCATAGAGCTTTTGCCCACCAGGAATGGAAAATACACGAATAACTGTGCCCTGCAAAAAATGCAAACGGAAAGATCACACAGGAGCAGGGCAGAGCGCGAGCCCTTTCTCTGACACACCCAGGAAACTCAGGACGTGCAAAGGCCACTCCTGTCTATCAGCTGGGGTGAATCTGAACCTGATACACTGGCCTCTTACAAGTCGGAGTCCTTTTAGTGCCCCTCCTCTGTTGGCTGTGTTTAAGAGTGGGCAGCTCAGACAGAGGTCCTGCTCTCCATGCCCCAGGCAGCCCAGCTGGCTGGGACCCCCCTGCCAGCTGCAGGCAGAGAGCACGGGCAGCAGGGAGGGTGCTGCCAGCGGCGCTCACTCACTTTTTCGGAAGCGCTTGCCAGCTTCGAGCCGGTGGAGTTGAAGGCGAGAGCGGCCAGAGGTCCGTCATGGGCAGGAATCCTGCAGGCTGTTTTCTGTAGGGCAGAAGGTAACGTGAGTGCTGAGACACGTTGCTCCTCAGACTGCGTTAAGGGCAGGGCATTCCCTGCCTCGCACCCTATCCAGGCCTGCCGATACGGAGTCACGGGATCGTATCGCACTTAGGGTATTCCTTCAACATCCTCAGCATTTCTTAGCTATGCCCTGCTTTGAGCTCACTCCCCACCTACTATGGCCACCGTGATTACAGAAAGCTCATTTCAGGGGCAGAGGTCCTCAGCTCCGCACCTCTCCAGGACGTGGGATCACGACTGCGCCGCCTCTGAAGCCTGGCATTTCTTTGTGCAGAGGCAGAGCTGGCCTCGCTGCAATTTGCTTGGCTGTACAGCAAATCCTGCTGCAGTGACACCACCGTGATGCCTGCAGGGAGCCCAGGCCCCCGCTGGTACCTCTCACAGCAGCAGCATGTTTTCCCCTTGTGCTCTGCTCCTCCCCTGCTGCAGATCCTTAGCTCCCGCTGCACGTACAGAGCGACAGCCTTATGTAATCCAAAGCCCTGGCATAAACAGCGGATAATCATGACCCTGCTTCCAGCCAGGGACAGGTTTCCTGAGGGGGGCTTTGGACACCTCATTCTCTCCGTGACTTCAGGTCCGGCATCCCTTCCAGCCCGTGGCGTGGCAAAGCAGCTGCTACAGGTCCTGTGCTGCACCTGGAGCAGCTCCAACTCTCCCTGAGCCACCCTGGTCACATCAATCCCATGGGATATGCTGCTGAAGCCCCTGTAGGAACCCCTGGGTCAGCCTGGCATTGGCCCTCGGGTAATGGGTCACATTTCCCTTAATATCCCACCCTGGGAGGTGGAAGTCCCTATCTCAAGGGGCCGACTGCTTCGCACGGCATCCAAGCAAGGGGGATGGGGAACGTGCCTGCCCCGGGCAATTCCCTTGCAGTCTAGCTCGGAGGATTGTATTTATTCATCCTTCCCAAAGGCCCTGTTGGCTTTGCTGTGGTTCTGTTTGTTTTCAGTCCCTGTCGGTATCCAAACAGGCGAGCTTTGCACTTACCAAAGTATTTCCGTCGTAAAGCGCGATCTCTCCGCTGGTCGCACTGCCGGGATAAGCCAAGTAGGAGTTGGCGTGGTTGATTGAGAGAGCGCACAGACCTGGCAAGAAGGACGCGGCTGAGGTTGTTTGCTGGTGGAGGACGGAAAACAGAAACGTGGCCACGGACACCGCAGGGGGTTCAGGCTCTGTCTCATTTTGGGGCAGTGTCCGGCACCGGGCGCACGCCGGCTGCACGCTGGCAACACCTCGGCCGTGGGGAGACCTGCCGTTACGGGACAGCACGGCTCCCTTCTCCCGGCCACCGTCCTCCCCCAAACCCTGCTCAGAAGGAGCCCAAGTCCTGCTTTTGGGCACACTCTTGGCTTCTCCCCCTTAATTGTCTCCTTTGAGAAGGCAAGAATAGGTGCACGAAACACAGCGAGGGACATCTCGGTCTCAGGGCTAACAGGACTCCTGTCCAGGCACATCTGGGCACCTCCAGATGTGCGCAGGGTGTAGGTGCCAGCTCAGCAGCTCGGATGAGCAGCGCAGCGCGGACGCAGCCCCGGTGTGAAGCCTGGCACATGAAGGCTGGCACGGCCAGGCAGCGGCTGTGGGGCTGGGCTGTGCTGTTTTCCTTTTTCTCTGAACGGAAAAGGGAAGTGGAGAAAGACAAAGAAAATGCCACAGTTGTGCAGGGAGTTTCCGGCTGACGAGGAACTTGAAGCTAGCTAAATTTTAACCACAGGGGGAATTCTTCCGCGTAATAGCCATCTGGTTTTATGCCAACGTGACCATAAAGGTTCCCAGACACCCCTTTCAAAGTGAGCAGGAATTACAGGATGAGACAGGGATGGATGGATGTGAGTGTGGGTACATCCATCCGCCCGTCCCCCAGGTGACCTCGGAAAAGAGCATTTCTTCCTGCCTCGCATTTCTGCCACTGGCTGAGGACTCATCCCAGTGAATCCTGTCACAGAAACGGGTCTCACTTGCTTCCTGCACCACGTCCGCGTGCTCACAGTCCTCCCAAATTCGACTCAAGGCTTCGGCACGACCAGAGCTTCCTGGCCCCCACTGGGGGATCCCACTTAGTCCCACGTGCAGAGGAAGCTGCGGGGTTAAAGGCTGCTGGGGATGCTGCCGTACTCCCCAAACCGGACTCCCGCATGCGTGCACGTATACGCACAGACACGCACACACATGCCGTGCAACCCGTCGTGTCAGGACGCGGCCCTGGCCCAGGCCCAGCAGCAGGGAAGGATCAGCTGAGGCTCTCGTTTTAGGTCATTGTTTATAACTAAACAAAGAGACCGCAGCGGAGCCAGGAGCTGCAGGATCAGCCAGGGGCCCCAGGGATCCACTCCCTATCAATCAGAGGCATTTACATCATGCCAGGGACGGCGCGCACCGGGAAGAAGAGGCGCAGCAGCAGCAAAGCGCAGGCACTTAAAAGGCACCCAAAGAGGGAGGGATAGGAGGAAGGCACCGGTAACGCAGAGACTTCGCTCGTGGTGAGCAAGGGTGTCTTTTCAGAATGGTCTTCCCCCAGCCCAGGCAGCACGGGGGGATCAGCGCAGCCCTTTCTTGAAGTGGAGGATCTAGAGAAGGCTCAAGCTAAACAAAGCAAGCTCTGAGCGGCTGGGGTGAGTCACCAGCTCCCTCTGCTCCGCGCCTGGCCGGGAGAGGCAGACGGGAAACCAGGCCAGGGGAAAACACAGATGCGAGTGTACTGGGCTGACCTCAGGGATGCACAAAGAACAAGGATCACAAGGGACACGGGCAGCCTTTGAAGATGCTCCTCTGCTCTCGGCAGCCCCGCAGCCCTGACTGAGGGTTGGTGCACGCAGTGGCAGGCTCAGGAGGGAGGAGGCAGGCTGGTACTGCTCAGGATGGCACCTCTGGGAATGCCACATGGCAGGTGGCTTCCTTGAGCAGCATGGAAAAAAGCCACCGTGTCCAAGAAGCCTGGCCTTGCCCCCAGGCCAGCAGGTCCAGGCACATCTGGGGCTTGGGGGGGGGAGCCATGTGAGGTGGTTTCCAAAGCCGCAGTCATCCCCAAGATGTGCCCTCGTGGCACGCGTATCACCACAAGCACTGTGATCTCCTCGGTGCAAATCCTGCCCCTGATGTGAGCCACGTGAAAAACAACATGCTTGAGCACACATCAAAAACAACAGGCTCAGCCACCGTCAGCATTTTCTTCTCCTGCGTGGAGGAGGCTGGACTGGGAGCCAGGTCCTGGCCAGGAATGGCCAGAGATCTCACTGCGACTGGCCGGTGGGTGTGCAGCAAATTCTGGACCTCACTGTGCTGGTGGTACCGTGCCCAGGGCTCATGCTTTGCCGGGGGTGGCACGCTTGCCGTGTGCTCCTACACCCCCCCGGCACAGATCCCCGCTCCAAAAAGGGTTGTCCAAAGAGCAGTGAGGCTAGACTGCCTCGGCCTCCTGGACACGCCGTCCTCGGGGTCAGGATTGGGACCAAAGCAGATGGGCCGGGGACAAAGGGAGCACGCATGGCACAGCGCTTGTCACTCGGCTCATTTCAGTGACAGCTGCTGCAGTAAAAGGGTTTGAAAAAATTAAGCCTGTATGAAATGGTTGGACTGGATGATCTTAAAGGTCTTTTCCAACCTAAACGATTCTATGATTCTAAATCCTGTGATCTGCAGCAGCCTAGTCCTGGCCCGGCGGGCACTGATTGCTGTTGCCCCACTGCAGAACAGCTTCAGGCCTGGGTATCCCTGCCCTTCCTGCCGCTGCTGGGCTTTCTCGGGAAGGTTTTAAACTTTAATTATGTTTGCAGTATTTAGTATGTTTAATCCACATAGAGAGGCCATCTGTTGAGACCTGAAGTAGGTCAGGGGAGCCGCCA